CGGGGCAGATCCAGGGCGTGGGGAGGACCACAGGGCAGGCCCAGGGAGAGAGGGGCACTGTGGGGCAGGGCCAGGACAACGTGGAGACAGAGGATACGATGTGTCAGGCCCAGGACATGGAGGGGACAGCGGACACTGTAGGGCAGGCCCAGGACAATGTGGGGACAAGGACACCATGGGGCAGGGCTGAGGTTCAGTACAGGAGGGGGCCCACCCAGGGCGGAAGGCGGGAGATGGCTCGGAGCCCATCTGGAGTGAACCCCGAGGTGGGGAAGGGACAAGGCCCTCGGCGCCCTCCCCAGCCCGGGTTGCACCCACCTGTGCCCAGTGGCAGGATGGCCACGGAGGGCTCGGGGCAGGCCAGCCGGTGGCGCGTCTCCTCCAGGGCACCGAGCACCCAGCCCACGGTGCCGTCCCCCCCACACACCAGCACCCGGAAGCGGGGGGTCTGGGAGAACATGTGGAACCTAGAGTGAGGGAGACAGGACATGTCCCCCACGGCCCCAGGAACCCTGACCTTCCCAGGGGACATGCTGGGGCAGAGGTGGAGGCCAGGAAGGAGGCCGCCCCAGTAGCGTCTCCAGCCCACTGCAGGGACCCAGGCCGCCCCACGCTGTGGACCACACTCACCCGGGGAGAGGCCCCCCGTTGGTCAGCTCAAAGACCTGGTGTGGGTTCAGCAGCTTCCGGAAACTGTAGAGCAGGTCTCGGCCCTTGAGGCCCCCGCTCTTGGGGTTCACGAACACGAGGAGCGGGCAGCAGTCTGGGGGCAGCTTCTCATGCTGGTAGAAAGGGGCTGGGTTAGGGTGGGGGGGCACAGAGTCATCCCCCACCTGGAGTTGCCTAGTATCACCATATGACTGTCCCCAAACCCAGTAACCGAGTGACTGCCCCACCCACACCAAGCAGCGACCGAGAGACTGCCGCACAGGCAGTGGCTGAGAAGTCGTCCCCACACTGGCCGGAGCCCGAGTGACCGCACGAGCGTTCACCCTACACGCCACGCTCAATGCCCCCGAGGCTGGGCAGTGGCAAAGTGACAGAGTACCCACACTTTGGAAAGTGGCCGAGTGGCTGCCCCACACTGGGCAGTGATGGAGTTAGCGTGCCCCACAGGCCCCTCGGAGCAGCTCCAGGCACCCTCTCATGATGGGCCGTGCATGCCCACAGGTCCCCCGGATCAAGGGCACTCTCTAACAGAAGCTACAGTCACACTCTCACGTGAGGTGAGGCGGCCACAAGACCATGCCCCAGATAGCTGACCACTCACAGCACCTCACAGGCTGCAGCGGCCCGGGGTGAAGCGGGTTGACAGTGGCCTGTGAGATGGAACTCCAGCCCAAGGGCCACGGAGCCGTGGACCAGGTGCCACTGGCTGGGCAGGTGAGGCTGCCCCAGAGGGCCACCTGCACAAAGAAGATTGTGCCACCTGGTCCAGCCACTCACACGGTCTCCAGGGCCACACGCCTCCTCAGTGACAAAGCCCGTTGTCCACAGGCCACCCCAGAGAGAGCAGCACTCAGTAAGGACAGGGAAGGTCCGCTATCCACAAGGCACGAGGTCTTTACAGGGCGTGGTCCCACGCGACCACAGCTGGGGTCCCCACAAGGTGGGGTGACTACAGGAGACAGACAAGCGGGGTTCAGACAAAGGGGGCTGCTGACTGCACACGGGCTCCACCGTGGCTTACGGAGGGGACACACAGCAGCTGGGGGCCCCCGAGGTCCTGACTTAGTGCCTCGTCCACGGGCAGACGGCTGACAGAGGCATTCGGCGCACTGGCACTGCTGCCCGCTCTGCCAGGCCCCTGCCCCGCGCCTGCGTCCTCCAGCAGGACAGCTGGCACCAGGCGCACACACCAGCCCTGCTCTCTTTAGCGTCCTGTAGCCTGGGGTCAGAGGTCAGGGGCAGCCATGAACCCCTGAGGCCGCAGCATAGCAAGGTGGCCAGGGGTCCTAGTCTACCTGTGAGCAGGCAGTCCTCAGGGCAACAGTCCAGACAGGGAGCATCACCTACCACCAGGGGCAGGGGCCGTGGGTCCCCCAGGTGGAACCCACCAATGCCTGGTGACCAGAGAGGGCAGAGCAATGGGACGGCCTCCCCTGGGCACCATGGGCGCTCAGCACCACGGCGCAGGAGGGCCCAGCTGTCCTCTGCGAACCAACCGTGTGGACAAGCAGGCCAAGCTCGGCCATTCACCTGCCAGGCGGCCTCAGAGGGCCCCTCACCCGCTGACCTCACGCCCACAGGGTCCAGCAGGGATGACCGTGACCCTCCTGACAGGGTCACAGCCTACAACGCACCTGGCCGCCTCGGGCAGGCACCCTCTCCCAGAACGCAGCGAGGCGGAGGGAAGCTAGGTGTGTCCGCAGCGGCCTTCAGGGTGTGGGAGCGACGTGTGTGGAGGGGACGAGGGGAGGGGGGAGGTATTGGGATGTGTGTGCACAGGGGAAGGCGGGTAGGGGGTGAAAGGTGTGTGTGGTGAGGGGGGTGTGGGAACACGAGTGTGTGTAAGAGACGGGGGAAGAGTGAAGGAGAGGTGTGTGTGAGAAGACAGTGTGGATGGGGGAACGTGAGATGGAGAAATTGGGGAGGAAGGTTCTGCATAGTGTGGAAACGAGGTGTCCGTGTGTGCAGGCACGTAGGTGTGAGCGTGGAGGTGCGGAAAGGTGTGGAAGGGGAGGGGTGTGTGTGCAGAGGTGTGTGTAAAAGGGCTGTGTGTGTGTGTAGACGTATATGTGTGGAGAGGTGTGTGTAAAAGGGCTCTGTGTGTGTGCAGAGGTGTGTAAAAGGGCTGTGTGTGTGCAGAGGTGTGTGTAAAAGGGCTGTGTGTATGTGTGCAGAGGTGTGTGTAAAAGGGCTGTGTGTGTGTGCAGAGGTGTGTGTAAAAGGGCTGTGTGTGTGTAGACGTATATGTGTGGAGAGGTGTGTGTAAAAGTGCTGTGTGTATGTGTGCAGAGGTGTGTGTAAAAGGGCTGTGTGTGTGTGGAGAGGTGTAGGTGTGTGCATGCATGTAGGTGTGCACATGGAGGTACAGAAAAGTGTATGGGGGAGATGTATGTGTAGAGGTGTGTGTAAAAGGGGGCTGGGGGTTTGTGGAGAGGTGTGGGTGTGTGTAGTGTGTATTTACAGGTATGGAAAAGGTGTGTGTGTGTGTGTGTGTGTGTGTGTGTGCCATGCCGAGGTCATCGCCCCACCTGAGATTCAGCAGGCCAGCCTCACCCCAGGTCCCGCCTGCACCCCACCTGGCCCTGCCGCCCACTCACCAGCACGTCGGGCAGCACCAAGGCCGTCAGCTGGCGGCCCTGCACGGCCGTGTCCCTGACCAGCATGTAGAGTCGCTCGGCCTCCGCGAAGCAGGTGACGTCCAGCACCAGGGCACCTGCACAGGTGGGCCGTGAGCTGCAGCGGGGCCGAGCGCCACCGGCCCAGCACGGCAGGCCCAGCATGGGGCTTCAGCCACGTCCCACACACCACGGCCAGTTCAGGTCAGCCACCCAGGGGGGCCACACCTGGGCTCTGGGCTCTGCACTCTGTCCCTCGTCCACCCTCCCCAAGAAGAGCCTGGGGTCACTGGCCGGGCCCAGAGACACTACTGAGGGGCAGCAGGGCACGTCTTCAGAGTGGACACAGAGGGACAGAGAAAAGCCACAACAGATACGACGGGACAAGGGCGGGTGCCTCTGCCAGACCCCCACTGAATCCCAAGAGCCTACATCCAGCTTGCTGGGGGCCCACCGGAGACGTGAGCCTAGAGGTATGTCACCGCCACCCAAATGGACGGGAGCTGTCACGGCCAGGAGTTGAGGGCCTCGCTGTGCTGCCCCCACTGCTAACCCTTCCTGGGCTCTAGGAAAAAGGTTTCTGAGCAGAAATGCATCACAGCAAAGCCTGGTACAAATGACAGGCCCCTGGAGGGATCCCCAAGAGTAGGGAGCGAGCTAGGCCTGTCCATCGAGTCTAAGAAATGGCCCTGAGCCAGCCCAGGTCCCTGCAGGCGACACTCACCTTGCGAGGGGTAGATGTGACTCACAGTCACCACATCAGCTGCAAAGAGAGACAGGTTTGAGGCTGCTGGACACCCCGTGACTCCTGCCCACAGCCCCACCTCGTCCAGGGCCGCCCAGCACTGCCCAGCAGGGCTTAGCCCCCACCAGAGCCCATGCCCCCCACCCACCGGACTCCCAGGGGACACAGGGCTGGACATGGGGTGGCGACTAGGCAGGGATGGCGAGGGGTGACAGAGGCCCAGAACCCTCTTAGATCTGTGGGGACACAGCCTTGAGGCCAGGGGTGAGGACAGAGGGCAGCCTGGCTGGAGCAGAGCTGCAGAGGATACGGAGGGAGGCAACAGATTTTTCTAGGGCTCCCCATCTTCCCGGAGCCCTGCAGGCTGGAAGTCCAACCTTTGGCGCCCACGGCATCCTGCAGCAGGGGGCCGTACTCCTGGGAGGCAAGGCCGGGCGGCAGGCCACCCACAAACAGGGAGACTCGGGGCTCCGGCGGCCGGCTCTCCGTCACGTAGAAGCGCGTCTGGCTCATGTGCCGCAGGGACGTCTGGGAAGAAGGACACGGTGCTGGACACTGGGGACACCTCTCCCCCTTCTCTGCTCTCCACATCCACAGAAAGCGCTGGGGAGACTGCCTGGCTGGACTCGGGTCAAAGCCAAGCAGAGACACGAGGGGGCCTCCCCTTACAAGGCCTGCCCCGAGGAGCTCAGAGAGGCCACATGGCGTGGGACGCCCATGGTGTGAGACGCCCCCTGGTGTGAGAGGCCCATGGTGTGAGACGCCCCGTGGTGTGCAACACCCCATGGCATGGACAATAAAGCCGGCAGAGACGTCCAGCCTCAGGGCCAGCAGGGGTGGCCCACTAGCTGCAGCCCCACTCTCGCTGGTCCGGGAGTGAGGATGGGGGACACAGTAGAGAGATCTTGGCCTGGTCTTGCCCGAGGACGTGAGTCAAAGTTGGGGACGGACAGAGAACAGACCCCGCCTCTGTGCTCAGACCTGCCGGATGTCCTGGAGCCGGTCCAGTATGAGCTCCTCATCGGCCAGCACCGTCCGCTGAACTACGGGGTGAAGACATGGCCATGAGCCCCGGGCGATACCCAGAGAGCAGCAGGCACCCTCTGAATGGCTACCCTCAGTCCCCAGGAGGCCCAGGTCAGAGATGGGCAGGACCGCAGCCCTGGGCTGCACCGGGGCAGAAAGGTCAGAGGCGCGGCAGCAGCTGGAGCAGGATCAGACCTCCTGTGGGATGCTGGGCACGAGCCAAGGGGGCAGAGGCTGAGGGGAGCACAGGCAGGGGGAAACGGGCAAAGGTGGCATAGGCCGAGGGGGGACCCCAGCCAAGGGGGCACGGGCCGAGGGGGACACAGGCCGAGGGGGGGACCCGGCCAAAGGGGGCCCGGGCTGAGCGGACACGGGCTGAACGGGCACTGCCCCAGTGGGCATGGCCGCAGCCCGGATGCATGGACTCACCCTGCCGGCTGCCCATAAGCACCTCCACCAGCTGAAAGCTCTCGGGACTCTCCGTCTGAGGGTGGAGGATGGGCATCAGGCCTGGGGGAACCCTCAACCCCCAAGGACAACCCTGGACAGCTAGATCGGGCCTGACTGGACACCCCACTGGAGGGTGGTCAGGCCCCCGGACAGGGACCCCCGGGCGTCCGTACCTGGCAGCCGAGGAGCGGCAGAACCTCCAGCACCACTGTCCTGGCCGTGCTCTGCGGGCCCACTCGGAGGGACACGTAGGCCACACCCACCCTGTGGGGCAGACCTGAGGCTCAGGACAGCAAAGCCCCCACCTGTGCCCCTCCCGAGCCCACCTAGAAGACTCCCAATCCCCAGACCTCCTCCCGGCCGTGCCAGCCTCACTCAGCGGACCCCAGACTCAGGGCAGCGGGGGCAGTTTCTCCACCCTCCCAGCCGCCCGGGGTGCCCATGTGACCTGCCCTGGGGTCTCACTTGAGCCAGGCAGGGTAGATCTTCAGCACCTCCTGTGTCCGGGGCAGGGCCCGGATGACCCAGGCCTCAGGCCCCCGGCTGCCCTCATCCCCGGCTGCCTCGCTGCTTGGTGTGGACACGGGGAGGGCCTGCAGCTCGAAGTCTCGGGGGTCCTCGCTGACATAGTACGCCCGCAATGCCGTCTCCTGCAGGGCAGGAGGAGTCAGCAGACCGGCAGGGGGACACGCAGGCACAGCCACCCGGCACCGGGACCTTCTTACCAGCACCTCCTCGCTTCTGGCGAGCCGGGGAACAGTGACCAGTCGGAAGTGGTTTCGCCGCATGGCATCGTTGCCATCAAAGATCTTCAGGGTCTGCTTGCCTGTCCAGAGCGAGGGGCTCATAAGCAGGGCTGGGGTCAGGTGCTGGGGTGGGGCGCGGTGCTGGGGGGATACGTACTCGATTCCGGAGCCGACGGCACCTCTCGGCCTGGGCCTGCGGTGATACTGCTGTCCACACTGTCGTCCCCCTCACCTGCAAGGAACGATAGACGCTGGAGCTGGGCCACAGGGATTGCAGAGGGGAGCACGTCCAGACCTCCAGCCCTGGTTCCCAGGCCTGTGACTTTGACGTAGCATCCCACATTCCGCCTGCTCTCAGGCCAGGCCTGCCTGCTCCGGCCCCACGCACCGGCCTGGGCCCGGCACCCCCACCCATCTCACTACCCCATGAACCCTTTCCATAGGGCACTGGCCTGGGCCCAGCACCCCCTACCACTCACCACAATCCCTACCCCATGAATCCTGTACTGGCCTGGGCCCAGCACCCTCACCACTCACACCCACCCCACAGAGGGAAGACATCCCATGCCCCCACCCCTCACCCCCACCCCTGCGAGCCCTGTCCGTGGGGCCTCACCTGGCTCGGGAGCCCCAGTCTCCGCTATGCGGAAGCAGTGCATCTTGCTGAAGTTGCGGGACGCCAGTCGCACGCAGCCAGGGGGCAGGACCATGCTGCGCAGGCGCCCAAATGTGCACTCGGGGGCCAGTGCGGAGAAGCAGAGCGAGTGTGCCTGCGGGTGGCAGGGAAGGGGCTTCAGCTAGAGCCCAAAGGGCCAGGAACCGTCGGGGCCCCTTCTAAGTACGAAGTCCCATCACCCCAGAACGACCAGTCATGCCAACCCGCAAGCTGGAACAGGCAGGGCTAAATGAAACCCGCACCCCAAAGAGTGGGACAGAGCCCTGTGCTGGTGAGTTCAGGAATGGAGGTGCCCTGGGGGGAGCGCCACAAACCAATACCCCAACTCCCAGCCTGTCCTCTCAGATCCATCAGAAGGCCATTACACTTAAAGCGCCCCTCTCCACCTGACCTACTAGCTCTTGTCCCCACCTGGAGGTCATACTTCTCCTGGAGACTTGGAGGGGACACATGTGCTGTCAGCCCCACGAAAATCTAGAAGCCACAACTCTGATGCTTGTCCTGCCCACTGGAGACCACACCCCCGTCACAGCCCCGCCCACTGGAGACCACACTCATTCCACTGGCCCCACCCACACTGTAGGCCACACCCCTACCACTGGCTCTACCCACTGTAGACCACACCTGCCACTGGCCCCACCCACACTGTAGGCCACACCCCTTTCCACTGGCCCCACCCACACTGTAGACCACACCCCTTCCACTGGCCACACCCACACTGGAGACCACATCCCTGTCAGAGCCCCGCCCACACTGTAGACCACACCCCTGCCACCAGCCCCACCCAGAAGAGACCACACCTCTTCCACCAACCCCACCTATCCTGGAGACCCCAGCCCTGCCCACATCGGAGGCCCCACCCCTGCTGTCCACCCCACCCACACTGGAGCCACACCCCTGCCAGACAACCCTCTTCACCGTACAGGCCCACCCCCCCACCGGGGCCCCCCACCCCGCACCCCTGCAGGAAAACCCCTTCACCAGGGCCGCACCCTTGCCAGGCCATCCCCCTCAACGGAGCCCACTCTCCTGCCATACTGACCCCTCACCTGGGGCCCGCACCCCTGCTGGACCACCCCCTCACCTGGAGCCCACACCCCTGCAGGGGCCCCTTCACCTGGAGCCCGCCCCCCTGCTGGACCACCCCCT